TAGGGCCTAGGCCTAGCTTGGTGGCAAGGGAGCATCCGGAGTTGCTGCGTGATTGGTTGGTTGCTCAGGAAGGGATCCTAGCTGTTTGGCTTGGACGACGGTGACGTGACAATAAGCAGTCGGTGGCGGCGGGCACGCGCGCGCGCCGACGGCGTCGGCGGCAGCGTGGCTTCTTCGACGCCTCAGCGCGAGGGTAGCTCAGGGCAAAGCAAAGCACGGTGACCTGTCCCCTTTGTAGCAGGACCAGGATGTTTATGTTACGATACCGAGTACCAACCCCAACGCAGAGGCCTCTCACTGACGTCGACCTCGTGCTGCTTTAAGGGCTTTTGAACATACGAATCGCGCAGGAATTTTTCATGAATCAGTTTAATTTCACAGGAAAAACATAGAAACAGAAAATATATCCCGTGTTTCAAACATGCCTTTAATCTGCCTCATCATCGGATACTCTTTCGAAGGAATTAATGGAGATCGAGGCCTGAATCTTCATCGCGGTAAAATTTCAAAGGAAAGTGGAGTTTAAGACGACTTTGAGGGTGCTTGAACGATACCTAACCCCTCATCAAGTCTCAAATGAGAGAAGGTGATGTGATGTTACACTCACGCGGATGTTAAAAGCTTTCACCGGCTGGAGGCCACTACTCTCTCTCTCTCTCTCATATATAGGTTAAGACTATTCTACAGCTGGCGGTTATAGAATAACTTATTCTGTAGTCACTTTGATTTACGATAATGTTTGTACCAATTTACGATAACATGAATATGCATTTACGATACTCGTGTTACTACAACTCACGGTGATATTTACCATAATGTTATAGTAAATCACTTAGTAAGGAGTTACTTTAGTATCGGAAATTAGCATAGTAACTATTGTAACTCAAATTGGACCCAAAATGCTAAGTTTCATGACTGAAACGATCATCTTCATAATTCTAGGATGAAATTGAGCCCGAAAGTAGAGTTTGAGGACTAAAACGGCCGTTTTGAAAGTTCAAGGATGAAACTAAGCCTCGAGTAATAGTTCAAGGACAAAAACGACTATTGTGCCTTAATATATATAATGTAGTGATCATGCATCAAACAAAATGGAGGTACGTACAAGCCAAGATTTACAGAGATGGCGCAAGAGGGTTCGGGGGCCTTTCATGTCATATATATAATCACCGTTTGATGGTACGGCGCGCCGTTAAGAAAAAAGATAGACAAACTGATGTGCTCAGCTATATTTTAACATAATTTTTCTTTTGTCTCGAAAAAAAAACTAGTGCTTCTAGACTACTTCCCGCAGTACGGAGTAGCCTATTAAGTTGTTAACGTAACCGTATAAACAATATACAAACAGACCGTGTCTTACCATTCGCCTGTCAAATCAGGTTTGTTAACAAGTGTTTTTGGCGTGCAACTATATGGTTAATCTGGATGCTTACAGTTAGTTGGATACGCTCAGTCGTTTCAGGTACACAGGGGGCCTACCGCTGCCATCGCTAGGATCATCTGGTCCAAATGTTTTACCGCTTGTTAATTTAGCCACAATTTACTTCTAACTCCTTTTGCCATGTTTGTTGGGCTGATAAGTCATGGCTAAAAGTATCGTTGGTTAATTTATTGTGAGAAAAAAACACTATTCGTTGACTGAAAAAATATGACTTATAAACCAAGCGAAACATAACGTTTACTTTTTTCTAAGGCGTAATAGGATCCCTCGACACGGAAAGAATTCCGTGAACCTGAGGCACACTCGGTGACCGTTCACGGCACTGTTTAGGCGCGTACGGTTCACGTACTGTTTAGACATTGCTCAAGCACTGTTGCATCCCCCGTCCGGTCACTGTTTAGGTGTTTATGCACCGTTTGATCTACTGTTCTAGATCAGCAGCTCCTACTGTTCGTGGGCGTGCTGGCAGCGCGCTTTCCATGCGCACGCGGCGGAGCGCGTGTACCGATTACCGCTAGTAGAGGTTATACCAACGAGCAACGAAGACAATGCACTGGCTTGGACAGTGAGCCCAGTGCTCTTTTGCTTTGCTAGCTAGTCCTTGGATCATGTAAAAATATTGGTACTTTGTAGTTGTTTTATCTTTATCTTAAACTAGAAGCATATCCCGCGGGTTGATAGGGGCATTGTGGGCGAATTAGAATGAATTGAAATAAATTAGATTAGATTATACGGAATGAATAAACTATTATAAATTAATAGTAGTAGATGACATGGCACTAAAGATGACCATTAAATGCATGTGATGGTGAATTTTGTGAGGTGGACTGCTTACATGTCGAGATAGAATGGCTAACTGATTTTAGGATCATAAGATATATACAGATACATAGATATAGATTAATGGTAGTGGATGTCGTGTCATACTAATCATGACAACTAAATGCATATGATAATGAACTGGTGAGGTGGATTGCTTAAATGTTGAGATAGAATTAGCTAGTTGGTTTTAGAATTATAAGATATATATTTATTAGATATATAGATATAGCCATAGATTAATTGTAGTAGATGGCGTGGCATACTGATGACAATTAAATGCATGTGACAGTGAATTGGTGAGTTAGACTGCTTGCATGTCGAGATAGAATGGCTAGTGCGTTAAGGATTATAAGATATATAAATATAGATATAGATTAAAACATTTGGTTTTGATCAAGATTATATATGGAAAAATACATAAACATCTATAACATCGGATAAGACTCATCAACACATCATGAAATATATTATAAAATACATTCATTTGATTATAGTTAATTGTTAAGATATTTTTTTTTATAAATTTATTGAAAATCAAACTAATTTGACTTCTAAGACAAAAACTAAAACAACTTTTTTGAAATAAATGGAGTCGTCCCCTTTTTGCATGGCTACGGCTGGTACATGCTCCTCGCGTTCGTGGTAACCAAACTCTTAAGCAGTAACCAAACTCTTAAATCTTCTTTTCATATGAAAATAGCAGCTCTACTGTATTATTCAACATATGATATTGGTTACTAATTTTGCGTAGCTACAGGTAGGTTGCATAAAAAGGAAAAATAAATAGTCTCGGTAGACATCGCAATTCGCGTGGTGCGTGCTGAACAGCCGAAGGATCCTGTACAATTTACACCACTCGGAACCTTTCTTCTCCTTATTTCCACTTTCCATTCTTTACCATGGCTGAGAAGGGGAAAAATCATTTCCTATATTTTAAATTATAAGATGTCTTATTTTTTCTAAATACATAATTTTTTGTTATATAGCTAGATATACACTATATTACATCTAAATGTACAGTCAAGCTAGATAGATCAAAACATTTCATAATTTAGAATGTAGGGAGTATTATTGATGTAGCAATGCATAATGATCATAGGTTTATAAATTACAGCTTTTAAGAAGCACCACATTGTAATAATGCATATTTATGCATATACCTATGCGTTGTAGCCATAGTATGAGACTTGCTACCTCCACTCTCATATAGATCCTATTTGACATAGTCCTTCTAGCTTCGTTTTTAATAACATATATAGCATCTATTTGTAATAGGAGTTGTTTCTCTCTTGCTCCTCTTATAAAGAGCCAATGAAACCAATTTATTTTAGCTTCACTGGCTTTTGTTTTTTTGCTAAGGTAACAAGGAGCCAAATAATTGCAAGACCCTACCAAACGAGACATAATTAACATTTGGGATTATCCGAAGTCAGATATTTCAAAGTTTGACCACTACCTTTTATTATAATATATACCCCTTCATCTTTTGACTAAAATTATAGAAAGCACTAATATTTATGATACCAAATTAGTATCATTATATATATATATATAAATACATCAGAAAATAATATTTTTATAATATGTTTCTTTGATGTTATAGACGTTGTTATTCTTCCTTCCTATAAAATTAGTCAAACTTAGATAATTTGACTTTCAATGGTTTATTTTAGGATGGATGAAGTATTTATAAGTGTAATAAATACATATTTTCATGGATCTAAATTTCAAGGCATATTTACGGGCAAGATTAATGTCGTCTAGATAATTTGACTTTCAATGGTTTATTTTAGGATGGATGAAATATTTATAAATGTAATAAATACATATTTAACGGATCTATTTTTCAAGGCATATTTACGGGCCCAAGATTAATGTCGTCCTAAAGTTTAGAATGATTCACATAACCTCAGACGACCTAACACAAGCGTGAATGTCTTATTTAGGCCACCAGAGTTTTTTTTTTCTTGCTTCCCTATACAAATTGAACCTAATCCATATATTTCTTTTATCCAAAACATTTTACATTGCAATACTGTCTATGGATTAAAAGCTTGAAGACGCAAACCAGTAGCTTGAGACACAGCATCGATCAAGTATAACTTATCATGTGCTCTAAACTATGCTATAAAATATATAAATAAATAATTAATAAAGAGCATGGTATTTTGTTTAGCACTGAAGTATGCGTCTATCCTTCCCATTCGGCATCCGGTGCTGATGCCGACAAATTAAGTTAAAAGTTGCCCACCTAATAATAAAAAAGAAACTTAAGTTAAAAATTGGGTACCTAATTAAAAAAAGGAAACCGCACCACACAAAGGATTAACGAACGAGGACACAGTCTCGCGCGACCAAACCAACCGCGCACGCAAGCAAAAGCAACGAAACAAACAAAATAAACAAAACCCATGCCCGGAAAAAAGAGAGACATCAAAAGGACAGGCCACAAAATATCCTCAAAGCCTCCCGAAGAAATTCCTCCCACCGCGAGTCCGCGACCGCGACAGCGACGACGACGGCGACGAGCACGGGGCCCCTCCACCGCCTCCGCCTCCGCCTCCGCCTCCGCCTCGCCGCGTGCGGCCTCCGCGCCGCCCCGACGTCGTCCCCTCCGCCCTCCCCCTCGGCCCCCGACGCGGCGCCGCCCGCCCTCCGCCGCCGCCGCCGCCGCCTCGTCGGGCTCGGCCTCCTCTGGAAGCTTCCCTCATCCCGTGCGCCGTCCCGCCCGGCCCCGATGGACGCGCCGCCGCCTCCGCAGCCCCATCCGCAGCGCGCCCCATCACCGCCGCCCCCGCCCCAGCCGCCCGCGCCGTCCAGGAGGTACGGCGTGCACTTCTCGGCGTCCAGCTTCATCCAGGCGCCGCTCACCGCGCTGCTCGAGTACTCCGGCATCCTCCGTCCCGATCCCGGTGGCGGAACCCAACAGCCGGGGACCGGGGCTGGGCCGGGCGAGGTGTCGATCCGGATTGTGGCGCCTGGCGAGGCGGGGACGTCCTCTGAGAGGGCCGAGGAGGCGATCCTAGAGGAGGAGGAAGAGGATGGACACGCAACGAGGACGCGACCGGAGGAACCGACACCTGCGGCTGGCGGTGGGGAGGGCGGCAGGGAATCCTCGTCGTCGTACCAGCGGTACGACTTACAGCAGGTGGCAAGGTGGGTGGAGCAGATACTGCCCTTCTCACTGCTGCTGCTCGTCGTCTTCATCAGACAACATCTGCAAGGTGCTGCTCACTTATTTCCCTTGTCAACAGAGCGCAAATTAATATGTACATGACAGATGATCACACTATTTGCGAATTGAAGTAATGTGGATGTGTGGGGAATGTTGGCTAAATTTGTTTTGGGTTGTTTTGCACAGGTTTCTTCGTGACAATTTGGATTGCTGCAGTGATGTTCAAGTCCAATGATATCCTGCGTAAGCAGACTGCTCTGAAGGTTGGTGATTGTTTTGTTGAACTTCTGGTGTAATTCTACTAAGATTTGTGTCTCGACAGCAATGAGATTAAAAAAAAATCGTTTTGCTATGTGCCATTATTTTCCTGGGTGTTATTTGCCATTAAATAATTCTGGTTTCACTGAATGCCAGTGCTTTGGCTAGAGTTGTTTTTGCTCATCTAATGAATGTTTTCAAGTGTTCTAAACATGGAAATATTTTAGTCAACAAACATGGTGAACGTTTAACTATTTGGTAACATAACCATCATATGGATAGATTTTATGGATTTCCTGCACATGAAGGCATTATAATTCTGTGCATGCGTATAAGCAATCACCAAGGCTATGCTGTCCTTTCATTTGTTTGGAGTGTGCTATTGTCTAAGGATTAATTAGGTGGATTTCTAGGATGATTTAACCTTTGTTCGACACTCAATAAGTGTGAAGCATGATGTGTGTGTGTATACAGAAACAGGATTAACCTTTCTAATGCTGCAGTAATTGATTAGTTCCGGTATTGATTGGGAGTCCTGTTTCCATAGCGAATTTCTGATACCTTAAATCTTCGAACTTAGTTGCTGTCAATAATTTATTCAATTTTTCTCTATTACTTACAATATAGTGCTTTCAAATTATCCTTGTACCATATTGACTAATTTGATTTTTTTTGTTTCCCTTTCATGCAGAGGGAGAGAAAAATTCCGGTTCTTGTCGGGATTACAATATTATTTGTTGTTCATGTATCTGGATTTTATTGGTGTTACAAGAATGGGGACCTTATAAGACCTCTCATGATGCTTCCTCCAAAAGAAATACCACCATTTTGGCATGCAATATTCATCATCTTGGTGAATGGTATGGTGCTTGTACATATTTACATTTTGTCTCTAGAATGGTCGCAAAGTGATAGCGCTGGCATCAGTTGAAGTCATATACTGCCTGAACAAATTTAGTATCTGGAGCTGGAATATCCATTTTGTCAACTAGGCTTAGGTATTCGCTTTGGCTTTACTTGACGTTTGCATATGTACTTGCCTTCTACAAATAGTTAGGTTGTTCCTAGGTTGTAAGTGGGTAACCTGTCACATATATTTCAACATCGTGTTCGTTTTATATTTGTTCAACCATCAATACTGATGCTTTCTTGTATAATCTTTGGTCACATGTGTCCCTTAATCTTCTGCAGATACAATGGTGCGCCAAACTGCTATGGTTGTTAAATGTTTGCTGCTGATGTACTATAAGAACAGTAGAGGCCGTAGCTATCGTAGGCAGGTAAGCCATCTACGTTTGTTATCCTACATTTTCTGTGATACATTTTGGTGATCTTCCTCGATAACTCATGGTGTGTTTTGGTTACTTCTGCATAATTGTAGACGGGTGAAGCTATAACCATTTTTTTTTCTGTTGTTCAGGGTCAAATGTTGACGATTGTGGAATATTTTCTACTTTTGTACCGTGCATTATTGCCTACACCTGTGTGGTACCGTTTTTTCCTGAACAAGGAGTATGGAAGCCTATTTTCATCTCTAACCACTGGCTTGTATCTCACTTTCAAGTTGACATCAGTTGTGGAAAAGGTGCTATACATTTCACTTATCTAATTGCTGAACTGATACCGCCAATGATCTGACACATATTGTACCTTTGTCAGGTTCAATCATTTTTGACGGCATTGAGAGCATTATCTCATAAAGACTTCCATTATGGTTCATATGCAACAAGTGAGCAGGTAGCTAATGTGTTCTTCACTTCTTCCATTGTCAGAAACACAAACTGATGAAAAGTTCTGAGATATGCATTCCACATTCGATCTTTCAAAACACATCTTTGTGTTCTGTGTTCAGGTGGTTGCTGCTGGAGATTTGTGTGCGATATGCCAAGAAAAGATGCATGTCCCCATCCTTTTGCGCTGCAAACACATCTTTTGTGAAGATTGTGTATCCGAATGGTAATTCACATATCCCTTTCCCCGTCGTATACCATGCGACCTTTCCAATGATTTCATTACCTATATCTGCTTTCTTGGCATTGTTTGGACTATGGCAGGTTTGAGAGGGAGCGAACATGCCCACTGTGCAGGGCCTTGGTGAAGCCAGCAGACCTCCGGTCATTCAGTGACGGTTCAACAAGCCTCTTCTTCCAGCTATTCTAATCTAAGAGAGCCAAAAGAGCGGCAAGTTGGAGCGCTCCACTCTATGCAGATGTTAGGGGGTGTGTGTTAGTGTTGCTGCTGGCAGCGCCTGGGAGCAGTGCGGCCCTGATGCGGTGCTGGGAGAGTGTACACCAAGCTGAAGCTGAAGGCGTACATGATTGTGTATCGTGACTGTGCATATTTCCATCCCCTGTATAGGCTCTCGCGGGATGCTTGAGCACCTGAGGATTTACCTGACCATATACGGTACAAATCACTACATAAATAGAAATAGTGAGTATATACTCTGCTGCTCCCCTGTGTGAACGCATGGCAGGGGGCAGGCGTCGAAAAGGGCTCCCTGCTGCTGCACTGTAGCCGCTGCAGGGGCAGGCGTCGAAAGACTCTCCTGCTGCACTGTAGCCACAGCAGGGGTAGACGTCAAAGTCAGCCCTGCTGTCACATCTAGTCACTGTAGGATTAGATGGGTAGAGTTGTATATATAGCTTTCCACTGCAACTCAGTAACTAGAGCGAGTTTAGTTTGCCATCTCTCTGCAGAGCTCCGGCCAACGTTAGTGTTTGTGCTGTGTGTGTGCTCTGTTCTCTCTCTTCTTCTACCTCTAGCCATAGTGTGTGGTCGGCAACGCCGGTGAATGGTCGGCTCACCTGTTTTGAAGATCCAGGGGCCAACGAGTGGTATCGGAGCCATACAAGCGCCGTCGCCGGATTAACCGTTGGCGATGACGGACGGTTTGGAGATGGGCGACAACAGCGGCGCTGCTGTGGCTGTTCAGCCACGACAGGAGGTCGTCATGAGCACAGTGCGGGAGGTCAGCGACACCAGTTGGTCGATGCTGACTCGCACTAACTATGACGAGTGGGCAGTGATCATGAAGGTCAAGCTCATAGCCCCGATGGCTCTGGAATGCTATTGACAAGGGCACTGACAATGAAGAAGACATATCAACGTTGGAGGCTATCCTCGCTGCTGTACCAGCGGAGTACAGGGAGCCGTTGGGGGCGAAGAACTCCGCTAAGGAGGCGTGAGAGGCCATTGCAGCGATGCGCGTCGGTTTCGACCGCGCAAAGAAGGCGATGGCCTAGCTGCTGAAGCAGGAGTACGCCACCCTCAAGTTTAAGGATGGTGAATTGGTGGAGGACTTCTCCCTTCGCCTGCAGTCGCTCATCAGCAAGCTGAGGAGCCACGGCGTCACCATCGACGAAGAAGAGGTGGTCTCCAAGTACCTCCACTCTGTGTCGATGAAGTACATCCAGATCGCTCTTTCTATAGAGACAATGTTGAACTTGTCCACCCTCACCATTGAGGATGTGATAGGTCTTCTGCGGGTGGTGGATGAGCGTATGGAGCAGGCCACAGCAATGACGAACAGCGGCAAGTTCTGACAGAGGAGGAGTGGGCTGCCCGGAGGAAGAAGTCCAAGGAAGCCTCCTCTAGCCGCGGTGGCGATGACAAGCACCGCGACAAGGCTTATTCGGAGAAGGAGAAGAAGGTCGACCCCAACGCCTACTGGCGCCGCGGGAAGACGGACCATTGAGCAAAGGAGTGCCCAAATCGTAAGCAGAAGAAGAAGGCTGAGGCTCATCTGGCGTAGGCCGATGATGATGATGAGGACACTCTCCTGATGGTGACGTTCTGTGCACTGCATGACGTTGAGGCCAAAGAGAAGGGAGAGGTGACGGCGGTGGAAGGGCACGACAAGGCTCTAAAGGCTGTCCACCTCGACGAACCGCGCGCCCAAGTCCACCTCAGACGTGTGGGCGGCAAGCAGGAGCAGCGGTGGTATTTGGACTTTGGCGCCAGCAACCACATGACGGGCTCCAAGGCAGCCTTCTTCGAGCTCGACGACGACGTGACCGACACGGTGAAGTTCGGTGACGGCTCAAGGGTGGCAATCCGAGGGCGCGACACCATCATCTTCAGGTGCTAGAATGGCGAGCACCGCGCGCAAACGGATGTATATTACATCCCGCAGCTGCGTTCAAGCATCATCAACATTGGCCAGCTGGATGAGCGCGGCAACGAGGTACTGATCAAGGACGGCGTCCTCAGGATCAGGGATCGGGAGCAACGCCTTCTTGCCAAGGTGAAGAGGTCCCGGAACCGGCTGTACCGACTTGAAGGTGGAGCGCCGGGGTGTTCGGCAAAGACGGCACGGCACCAGGAGCTATGGTCGTGGCATGCCCGGTTCGCCATCGGCACGACGCACTTTTCGGTGGCCGGAGAAGATGGTCCGAGGGATGCCCCACATCAAGCACGGAGGCGAGCTGTGTGACAGCTGCCTGGTCGGGAAGCAGAGGAGGCTACCATTCCCAAAGGCGGCCAAGTATCGTGCGGTGGACGCTCTCGAGCTCGTCCATAGCGATCTCTGCGGGCCAATCACGCCAGCCATAAACGGTGGTCGGCGGTACTTCCTCCTGCTCGTGGATAATTACAGTCGCTATATGTGGCTGCAACTCTCGACGAGCAAGACAAGGCGGCGGAGGCGATCAAGAAGTTCAAGGCGCGTGCGGAGGCGAAGAGATGGCAAGAAGTTGCGCATGCTAAGGACTGATCGCAGCGGCGAATTCACTTCGGTGGAGTTCGGTGCATATTGTGCGGATCAGGGTGTGGTGAGACACCACATCGTACTCGCCACAACAGAATGGCGTGGTGGAGTGGCAGAACCAGACGGTGGTGGCATGACTTGATCCATGATGAAGGCCAAGGGCATGCCAGCAAGGTTCTGGGGTGAGGCGGTGACCACGGTGGTGTTTATCCTCAACCGCGCGCACCCACCAAGGCCCTAAAGGGCAAGACGCCATTCAAAGCTTGGTATGGGTGCAAGCCGAGCATGTCCTTCCTCCGAACATTCGGCTGCATCGGCCACGTCAGGAAGACGAAGCCGGTTCTCACCAAGCTGGATGACAGAAGCACACCGATGGTGCTCCTGGGCTACGCGGAAGGTACCAAGGCGTACCGGCTCTACAACCCACATGGAGATAAGGTGCTTGTCTCGCGCGATGTCGTGTTCGACGAGAAGGAGGCTTGGGACTAGAACAGTCCGAGCACGGGGGAAGCTGGCGGCTTCACCAGCACCTTCGTCGCCGAGCACTTAGTCATCCACGGTGGTAGAGACGCTAGAGAGGAGGTGCCGACCACTCCAGCAACAGAGCTGAGCACTCTTGGGCGGTGCCGAGCACTCCAGGAGGGGTGCTGAGCACTCCAGGAGTGATGCCGAGCGGTCCTGCAATGGTGTCGACCACTCCAGGACGGGTGCCAAACGCTCCCGTAGCGGAGCCAAGAGGTATTACAGTGGCGCCGACCACTCCAAGGCTGGTGCTGAGAACTCCTATAGTGGTGCCAACCACTCCAGGAGTGGTGACGAGCAGTCTAGGAGTAGTGCCGAGCACTCCAGGTGCTGTGCCGACCAGTCAGGCGCAACAGGGAACTCCATCGATGCCGATCAAATTCGCCTCACCTCCAAGCGACATCACCGAGTTCGTGGATGCCTTCCACGACGGTGAGGAGGTGTGGTTCCGCAGGCTGGATGGCATCATTGGCGCCACAGGGTCCTTAGGCCTAGCGGGTCGACTGCTTAATGACCCATGGCTGCTTCTCGTCAGTGCAGAGGAACTACCCACATTCGCGCTGGCCGAGAGTGATGCAAATTGGCGATGGGCGATGCTGGAGGAGATGAAGACAATCAAGGAAAACGAGACTTGGGAGCTCGTCGATCCACCTCCAGGATGTCGTTCGATCGGCCTGAAGTGGGTGTATAAGGTCAAGCGGGACGAGCGCGGCGCCATTGTCAAGCACAAGGCACGTCTCGTCGCCCGAGGCTTTGTCCATTGCGAGGGCATCGACTTCGAGGAAGTCTTTGCGCCGGTAGCGCGCATGGAGTTTATCCGACTGCTACTGGCTTTGGCAACAGTGAAGGACTGGCGCGTCCATCATCTGGGCGTAAAATCGGCCTTCCTCAACAGCGAGCTGGCGGAGACGGTCTTCGTTAGGCAACCTCTGAGTTTCGCCATCAAGGGAGCGGAGCACAGGGTGCTCTGACTGCGCAAGGCGCTCTACGGGCTGCGGCAGGCCCCACGAGCGTGGAACGCCAAGCTTGATGCCACGCTGGGCAAGCTTGGGTTCAAATGGTGTGCAACCGAGCACACGCTCTACACGTGGCGACGGGGGAAGGAGGAGCTCGTCGTCAGCGTGTATGTGGATGACTTGATCGTCACCGGCGCGCGTGCGGAGGACATCAACAGCTTCAAGCGCGAGATGGCGGCTCGTTTTCGAATGAGCGATCTCAGTGCGCTCTCCTACTTTCTCGGCATCGAGGTGAGTCAGGGGAAGGAGGCGCTCACGCTCGGTCAGAGCGCGTACGCCTCGAAGCTGTTGGAGCGGAGCGGCATGGCTGAGTGCAAGCCATGCGTGACTCTGATGGAGGAGCGGCTGAAGCTGACGAAGGCCAGTACCACGGCGAAGGTAGATGCAACACTCTACCGGAGCATCGTCGGCGGTCTGCGCTACCTAGTCCACACGAGGCCGAACATTGCGTTCGTCGTGGGCTTCGTCAGTCGCTTCATGGAGGATCCTCGAGAGGATCACTAGGCTGCGATGAAGCGGCTGCTGCGCTACGTCAAGGGGACGGTGGATCAGGGGATCGTCTTTCCCAAGACCGATGGAAATAGGCTGCAGCTCACTGTGTTCAGCGATGCAGACATGGCGGGGGACATCGACAGATGGCGGAGCACCTCTAGCGTGCTCGTCTTCCTCGGGTCGGCTCCAATCTCATGGCTGTCGCTGAAACAGAAGGTGGTGGCGCTGTCCACGTGCGAGGCAGAGTACGTGGCGGCGGCCACAGCGGCATGCCAAGTTGTGTGGCTGCGTCGGCTGCTGGACGAGCTGACCGGTGTGGAAGCTCACCCACCAGCACTGATGGTGGACAACTAGCCCGCCATCGCCCTCGCGAAGAATCCGGTTCTCCACGACCGGAGCAAGCACATCGACGTCAAGTTCCA